CCCACTTGAATCTATGCTAACAAACTGTGATTTATCATCAATATTCCACGCGGTTGGTAAAACAAGACCATTGAACAAAGTAGTCTCTCCCATTACATCAAATTTCGATCCAGATCTTTTATCTAAACAAACGATTTTATTTTAGCCGAATTATTGTCAGCAAAATGTAAGTCTAATTTATTTAACAATACGTACTTACCTTCATACATGTTACGCAATATCAGCCCATGTTTATTGTTTGGTCGATCAAATTCGTGTAACACATCAATCAAATTCGTATAAAAATCAAATTTTTAATTTTGATCAAACCATGATATGAGTGTCGCTAAAAGAAAACCCGAAAATTTAAATATATTTCATATTTAAATTTTCGGGTTTTCTTTTAGCGACACTCATATTTCAAGGTCTAGTGACCCGATCTTGATGACTTTGTGCCATTCGAGTCTTTTCTCAGTGAGAGGATTCGAATGAAACCAAATTTACTAAGATTGGGTCACTAGATTTCGAAATTACTGATTGTTATACGAATTTGATTGGTATGTTACACGAATTTGATTAATATGTTACACGAATTTGATCGACCAAACCCGCAGCGAGTAATAGAAACCCAAAAAAGAAAATTTAACGTAAAATAAACTAAGTTCGTGAAAATAACAATTTAGGGTAGAACGTTGAAGTTAGATGCTATAGAAATAAACATTTACTTTCTAATGCAGTAATGTAAAATTTCATTTCCGTCACTTTTAATTAGTAACCCAAGTTAGGTTTAAATACACTGGCGATCATAAGTAGTTGGGGTGTCTATCATCGGTCTAATTACAAACATAGTGCATATGATATAGTGTTCATCCACTAATTAAGATTTTTTATAGTAAAATTCCATGATCTGCACGCTATATTAAATTACTATGAAAAAATTGACTTTACTACACTTTTAATTCCTCCCGTAATATTTAATATTTTTTAATTCTATAAAGACAAGATACTCATTGAAAAGTGTCTTTATAATGTGACAACGCTAGAATTTTATTTTACTAATCATAAACATCTTCAATTAGCGGTTGAAGTTATTTTACAAAAATCATATAATAATTTTACATTGTACAAAAAAGATAACGATAATTTTATTTAAAAACTGATTTTTTTTTGTAAATATGATCATTATTTTTTGTGCTTCCAGGTAAGAAAACTGTTAAGAATTTCATATACATTTTCTTCTTTGGAAATTTTATTTTCTGATTTCTCACTAATTTCAGAATTTCTTGCTTCTTGTCGAATATTTCGCAACATTTCTTGAGAAATATCTTGAACCCTACTATCTGAGCAAGAGAGTTGGATGCGTGACTCTTGTAATTGAGTATCCATGTTTAGATGGACTTTTATGTCATAACAGTTAAATAGTCTTTCGAGCTTTTGTTGATGCACAATGATACTCCATATATGAAATTTAGTAAATTCGTATATTAGAGGAAATTTTGTTAATTCTGTATTATCAGAATTTGCAAAATTTTCGAGCTCCTCAAGAAAATCATACTGTGACAATTCTTTCAAGAGCCCAAAAGTAGTCGAACGCCCATTAGATAAATCTTCTTTTAGAAGTCTAATATAGAAGATTTCTTTAGAAGTTAGAGTTTTTGATGAATCTTTGTTAAAAAATACTTTTAAAAAGGTGCAAATGAAGTCTGGTCCATTTTTCCCTCCTAATCGACAAATGCTTAAAGGTAAATGAATCCAGGTCTCCATCTATTTAACAAATCTGCTCAATGTATTTTCTATTCCATTACGTAAGGATTCACGAAAACTTTCAAAATCTATTGCATCTAACTCGTGCTTAGCATCAATTAACTTATCTTCAAATAATATATAAATATTTTCTAGATAATTTTGAAGCTCTTGAACCCATAATATTATTTAATATTATTTTATCGGGCATTTCATGAGCACAATGGCCCGGTGGAAGGGTACTTATATTATTTTGCTGATAGATTCGTGGAGTTGGGTTATATCCATTTAGAAAACTGCAAAGGGTGTGGCAACTTAATGTAGTTGGTAAGTTGTTGCATCCCCAAGTGGCAGGTCAAGAGTTCGAATCCTACTGGTGACGAAATTCGAATTTAAGGAATGTGTTACGGCAAACTGTGTGCAATTGAACGGATCATCAAATCTGTAGGCTTGGTCATACCAGCTCGTACTGGAAGGTTGTGGAACATTAGTGTGACGAAAGAGTTACATGAATCCCGAGTGAAGCAGCTGAATAAATCTAGGGGTTTGGAGCACATGAAAGCCCACTTGGCAAGTCCCGAATAGAGAGGTAGCACAGACTTTTGACGGTACTATGTAAAGGATTATTATCTGGAAAAAGAAAAAACTGAATGGAACCGAGGTGTTTGGCAAGCACCATACCAACCAGATCGCCGAGTCAGTCGGAGGAAGGGATCCGCCCTTCTGGGCCATCTGGATTGGGAGTTTGGGGAAGCCAGAAGTACAAAGGTAGTCTGTATAGTGGGTACTGGGGTTTGGACGAACTCTATAAAGGCAGGGAAACCAGGAATTGTGCGGTTTAATGGTTAGCCCTGACTGCTAGTGTTGGTTTCGGCCATAGCAGATAGGTTCTCTGAACCTAATTCGGAAATATGTAGGACATAGAAGAATTAGGAGGGCAGCTACTACGCCTATCTGTGGGGACCCATGGGTAACCAACAGGGTAACCAAGTCCAGGTAAGATAGTAGGAGGCACTTCAGTATAAAGGTACTTAGCTTAGAATAATTGGTGGGTAGTACTTCTGTAATACTAAAATGTAGATCTATATGATCAATGACAAACATCAATAAAAGCTTAGTCCCGAAGGACACCTTAAAAAAAAAAAAAAAAAAAAAAAAAAAAAGAAAACTGCAAATGGGTTCATAAAACTTCGCGCCAAACTTAACGATACATTGTATTTGAAGATTAAGCCATTTATCTATAAGCCACTTAAAGAATATTTGCTATTTATGTAAGTAGGATTTTGGATAGGGTTGTTAATGAAGTACTTCAAGCTATAATAAAATATATAAACTACTTCAGTTTAAAATTAGAGTGGTTTATATATTTTATTATAGCTTGGAGTACTCCATTAACAACCCTAATTTTGGAACATTTTTTGCATTTTCAAGTTGCTCAATAAGAAATTAAGCAAAACAAATATGCCTTTCAAGATATTGCCTTGCAGCCTTAAGCTCATATAACTAATGTTGATGAATAGGCTGTTGGTATTTACTTAATTCAACATTAAATAACATCTTATAAAGCCTTTTTAAATTTCAAATTTTAGATTTAGTGGCTATCTTTATCTAAAAGACCATATCCATCATGAAGATGAAAAGCCAAGTTAAGTAAATTAAATGGATGTTTCTTTAATGATAGTCCTTTAATGGCATTCAATTTTCTAAACGCTATATCTTCAAATTTTATTAGAGCAATATGGGTTGCATTTAATCCGCATAGAATTCGAAATGATTTGGACATTGTTAATGAATTAAATTTAGCAATTACACTATTATTTTCAGAAGATATATAGGCCATATTATTTGTTAGCCAAAAATGACATTTTTGAGGGTCAATTTCTTTTTGTTTACATGTTTCGAATACTATATTTGAAACTGTTTCAGCATTACATTGCATTATATCAGTTAATTTTGCTACAGTAATTATTGGCTTATTCTTAACAACGTCTCAATATGAAAAACAAATAATTAACATTTTTATTTCTCCCCATATACTTTCGCCAGCCATAATACCATAGCCGAAAAATCGAGAAGAAGCTTTTTTAGGACGATTTTGATTAAAAAATGCAGCTGCTATTTCATTATTCCATTGTGATAAAGTTGATGAAGTTACTCAATGTCGTGACATCTCTTCGGTCAAGAATTGATATATAACTTTAGTACATTCCACAGTTGCACGTATAGAGGTTTGTTCTATATTACTTATGTCTGCAGCTAATTTAACAAATTTAGTATTATATTTTTTATTATTAATTTTAAATAATTTGTTTGCTACACATTGAAATTGTGCAGATCGAATTTGTTTTGCTTTATAAATAGCAGATTGAATTTTTGAGATTCGTTTTTGTTTTGATTTTTTTGCTTTTGCAACTTTTATTGAAAATAAGCAAATTAGAGCCTTAGTTGCAAGCTTTTTTTTTTTAAGCCTTTAATCTTATGTTTTAAATTTTGGACTTAATTAGGCATCACGCTCTGCAAAATAAATATTTTTTACACCCAGGATGCAGTGCGATTATTTATCACTTTTTAGATTAAATTTAATTAAACTATATATTAATAATTTCGATTCTAATTTTTTTATCAACATATCCAATATTCGCTTTGTTAAGATTTTATTTGCAATCTGAGCCTTGTATTATAAAGTACTTTAAAGAACTATAACTGTCTGGGTTGTTTCAAGCTATAGCCTTATACTTATTAGCAATAAAAAAACAGCAGTAATAAAGCAATGTGATACTAGTTATAATATAGCTTGACCGATCAAAGTTTAAGATCAGATACGTATATCGCAAAAAATCAACTTATGAGCATTTTAGCTTATTTAAAATAACATAGTAAAAATTTTACTTGCTATATGTCTCTGCGCATTATTACAGTAATAGCTAAATTTTAGCTATTCGATTACATAATTATTACTTTGACTATCACTAATTATAGCAGTATTAATTAGACCATTTTTGAGAACCTATAGCATGGATATTGAAAAGCGATAGTATGAATGACAATATAGACATAGTCAATAGCTCAAAAAATTAAACATTGCATGCATGTGAAACTGCTTTGTCTAAATATTAACTATAATGATATGCATTAGAAAAAATTTGTACTACAACATGAAAACTAGGCCAATTAGAAAATAAGTCTGCATAACCATATTCTAATTTTGGTGTTTCCTTTTCCTTTTTGCTTGTGATAAGCTGCATTATGACCTACTTCTCCACATTGACGACATTTATACAAACCTCTTGAAGAAGTTTTTCCCTGATTTTGCTTCTTTTCTATACTACTCATAAAACGACACTTGGATGGTCTTCCTCTTCCAATAATACGAGGTGGATTTTGAACACCTTGTGGAGCTTGAATACTAATTGTTTCATTGTCTAATACTTCACAATCATTGTTTTCATTATCTTCTTTCAATAAGATTTAGTTTTCATCTACAGTACTATCAGCGGCAAATTCAGAAGATTCCTATAAAGTGGAAACAGCTTGTGTATGAATCAGATATAAAGATCTTTTTTTCTTTCTTTTGCTCTGCATTTCATCATTATATTCATCCCTTTTATTTTTTTTCTTGTTATATAACCTTGAAATATTTTAATGATTTTATTATTATCACTATCTACCGCCAACAATGTCGCCTCATGGGCTAATCCCCAAATTTTACCATAATAATTTCTTTTCTGCAAAGCTTTTCTTGTAGTCGGAGCTGTAACTGAAACTGTAGATGGCCTTTGAATTGGGAGAATCTCTTTATCTTGACTTATGCCAATATTACCTGTTTCATTATTAAATATAATATTCTCATCTTTATACATTTGATTTTCTTGATAGGGGTCCTTGTACCATCGTGAAGAAATCATTGATATGTGAAAAGTCGCAATTTTAAAATGCATTATTATGCAAAAATAGTACCAGCAAATAATTCTTCTCGAAGCGATCATAAGACATGAATATAAAAAAGATAACAGGTTTAAGATAACTATAAAATATATAAATTGATTTTTTTCTTTACAGATATTAGAGATTCTCCAGACTTCTTTTACGTTTTTGCTTTCAACTTCATCTATAATATCCCAAAGAGTAATTTTGTGTGCATCGTAATTATCTTCAAGAAACCCACATGATATCTCTTCATCAATTTCTTGTTCGGAGTTAAGGTCATTAGGTGTTAGCTCAATTATATTAGTCATAAAAAACAAACACTGTGTCATCTCATCCTTAATTATGCCACTAATAGCATCTGTAAGATATTTGTCAATATTTTTAGTTACTATTGAGAAAAGATCATGTCCAGTAGTAGGTATAGTAGCGAATGTTGTTGAGTCTTTATACTAATGGAATCTATTCCATTGTGTCTCTGTTTTTAAACGTTTATCAAGACGATTCGCAAGTTCACACAATGTACAGTTGGATTTGATTTCTTTTTTTATAACCCAATTATAAGATTCAACTCGAGATATACTTTTTATACCAGCTGTAAATATTTTTGAAAGATATGCACAAGCCCAAGACCACCTACTTGAATACAAGATATGCAACAAATAATCTTTTGCCATCGGGTATTTATTAAACATATCATTCTAGCGTTTTTGAAAAAGAGGCTCACAGAGACTATTATTGCATCGATAAAATGTTTTCATAAAATCTTCACATTTGTCACCAATCTTAGATTTGAGATTTTTGGGTAAATTCTGCCCAATATGAAAGATACAGTGCACAGCATATGTCTTGAGAAAAGTAATTCATATTGCAGCATCAAGTGCTGGGTCTGAATCAGTAAACATGACCGAAGGCTTCGTTTGTGTTGTATTTTTTATACAAGTTAGATTCCAATTATGGGTATCAATAGTTTCATTGCTAACTAATACCTGACAGACAAGTCGTGTTCTTCTATTGTATCAATGATTACAAATAACCCTAAGGGCATTTGATATATATTAGTTTTAGCTGTATTATCGTTGATAACTACATCACAGTATTTCAACCACAGGTTGATCTGCCTGAGTAACATCCAAAATAATTGTATAAGTCGATTATCCTCATCTAATTCAAATTCTACAGACCACCTAGAATTATCCATTTTATTTGCTAGCAAGTAATTAAGTAAATCAAATGCATCATTTGTCCTATGTATATTTTCTTTTCTTTTAAATTGTTGAATTGCATTATTAAGATCACTATTTTGGAAATGCAAATTAGGAAAACGTCCTCTTAGTATATTCTGCTGTGCTGTAATTGACAAGTTTCTATATTTAGTCATTATTTCCACCTCTTTCAAAGCATCTTCATCAAGAGAACAGTATTTAAGCCTGAATTCTTGAGCATCCAAGTTGATATTATGATTGTGCTCATTCACAAGCATGGTAATAGAGATATGAGTTCCAGTTTCTCTGTAAGAAAGGTTTATGTGCTATTGACAGTCGACTTTTTTCATTTTTGTATTTCTTTGCATGCCATTTTGAGTACTTATTTGATTCTTATTAGGCTTGTATTTTCCTTTAAATTCACAAATGAAAGTTCTTTTATAAATTTGTTTGGCTTTATTTTTCTCTACTCGATATTTAATTAATACAAATCCATTTCACTTCTCATAGTCTTCAAAAAAAGTCTCCACTTCTGTCCAAGAATTGAATACAGTATCCGCAAGTATATCTTCTGACATTACTATCACCTTATTACTTGTATCAACTGGCATATCATTATCAGGATTTTCTGAATCTTGGTAAGTTAATGTCTCATTATCGGTTTTCTCTTTGATATCATTATTGGGCAATGCTTGCATAGAACCTTCAGCAATATTATCAAAGCAAACGTATCTATCCATTTCTATTAGCTCTTTCAGATTATAGTTCGAAAAGTTTGTTGTAATGGTCTCATATGATTTCATTTTTATTGTTGAGGTAATGGGGCTTTAGATTTAGCAAGGAGAAAATGATGAAAAAAATGTGGTAAAGTAAAGGTGGTGAACAAGAGATTATAATTACTGACGACTTAAACTTGTGATGAAAAAATCTGACTTATGAGGTTCTAAGTTTGGTAAGATGAAAGTGATAAAAAAAAAATCAGACTTATGAGGTCTAGATTTGGTGAAGCGATAGCAATGAAAAAATTAGACTTGAAAGCCCTAAATTTGGTGAGGCGAAAGCAATAAAAAATATCAAGACTTAAGAGGTTTTAAATTTGGTTGGTTGAAAATGATGAAAAAATTGAACTTATGAGACTCTAAAAATTTGATGAAGTAAAAACAAAAAAAATCAAATTTATAGAGCTTAAATTCGATGAGGTAAAAGCGATGAAAAAAATTAGCACTAAATATGATTTGCAATTGTTTGGTATGCGATGAAATATATATATTGCACTATGTAAATTTTCTGGTATATGATCTAATATTTCATCACATGATGGTATAATTTTTCATCATTAATTTCATAGCAATTATGTAATTATAACCAAGAAATTGCTACTGCATTTGAGAGTGGCTTCATTCGTATCATATTAACGAAGTCACATATCTACGTTCTATGATCACGTGATCACGGGATTGCGTATATTTAAAGGCAAAACTAAGTATATCATGTTGAGTAATAATTATTAACAGGGCGATAATTAGCAACATTGCTGGATGCAACGCATATATTTATTCTTAAATTTTTAATTTTTAATTCTAATGCTTCAATAGTATTCCTAGGTTTATAAAGACTAGTATCGACAAATTCATGAGCCTTTTTTTGTAAAAGTATAGAAATTATTTCTTCTTTATTAATTCCTCAGGGATAGGTCATATTTGCAAAAAGATTTAACACGTCTAATACTTGTTGGTCAGGTAAATTACAAACTTTTAAAAACATTTAGTTGTGTTTTCTCTGAATATGAGTATTCATTTCTCAGAATTCAAATATTTTTTTTATTCTAGAACTGAAATCAGCATCATTTAGTTGAGACAATATTGGAATTAGATGATCAAGCAATTTTTTTTAAGCACAAATGTTCATTTTTTGAGAGTTAATGATTTCTTTAATTATAGAACTAAATTTATCATCATTTAAATTCGTAAATGTTGGAATTAGATAATCAAGCAATGTTTGAGGATTATTTTTAATATTCTAAAATGCTTTCTATTGATCTTTCTCGACACTTCGACTATTTTTGAGTTGCATTTTTCGTGAATTTGGTCAACCTATTGTAGTAATTACAATTATAAAATATGTTATAGATATACAAAAAGTGGTCTTTGTATTTAAAGTTAATTTGGTATCTTTACTAGAGAAATTTTTATTTATTTTAAACTTACTATCTAATATAAACTTATATTCTTTTATATTATTTTGCAAAATCATTAAAGTTACAGAATTATATTATTCTCGCTCAGATTTTCACATGTCAATTATTCTTTATTTATCATTCACTTAAATGCAGGATACATATGTAGTACAATATAGTAAAGTGCTCACTGCTTGGTGACCCGAAATATCACCTAACAGGTCCTCAACTCATCCTTACCCATTCCATAGTTTAGTGCTCTTACAACTCCACTCGGTTGGTTCTATCTACTTTTCTGTGAGAACAGTGTGGGGAGTACACACCTGTCCTTTCATACGTTCAGTAACGATTCTTATAGAACAGTGTGGGGTGTTTACAGCTATCAAAATGATGAGAATGGTGTAATGGTTATACAGCCACCTTTCTAGTTCACATGGGTTTTGGTTACTTTCCAGCTGTGTATAGAATCGAAGATCTTATAGGTCCGAATATGACTTTTAATAACCTGGATTTACTGGGGTGGGAGGAAGGGATAACGTATTAGCCGGAAGTAGTATTTCAGGCAACTCAGAAGATAGCAGCAGAAAAAAAGCACAAACTCCTCCTTTTTCCAGAGATCATTCCTTTTATAGCTCAATAGCCTCTAACGATTATTACATGTACAGGCTGTAGGACAACAGTTATATGATCAGAGATCCTCGTGATAATATCCCTCCTGTGACTTTATTACAGACGGTCTTATTATTCTCGCTCAGATTTTCATATGTCAATTATTCTTTATTTATCATTCACTTAAATGCAGAATACATATGTAGTATAATATGGGAAACAAAAAAGGATCGTAGTATAATAAATGATTCCCAATTCTTAAAATTCCATTCTTTTAGAAGTGCTTATTTGCGTCGTAGTGACCATTCTTAAGTACAATAGCACAGCATTAGACAACCATCCACCTATGGCCATTATCTGAGATAAAGAAAGGCCTGCCTTTATCGCCGCTGTAGTTCCGCCTATGCACAACCTATGACTTGAGTATCTTCCTTTCAACTTTGCATGATTTGTTACCCTTTTAACTATAGCGCTAATCGCTCCTACTGAAAGCCTTTCTTTGTAGATTGATAGAAATGCAATTTTGCCTAAGTCATTCCTTGTGAGCACGTACCTCTTCTATAATCTAACAGGGCAAAACTCTGAGTTTGTAGGTTCAATTGGGATGAATTTTCCGGTTCCATATTGGTCCGTCTTAAATCTATTTATGCGAATCCATAAAAGGCCAGATTCCTCCTTGAAATCATCTATAGAAAGAGCTGCCAATTCACTTGCTCTGCGCATTGTGCGTAATTCAATAGCTACTAGAGCGCAGTCACGTTTCCATATTTTTTAGTCCGCTTGTATTGGGGGTGTTTTATGTATTTTTTTAGTGCATCAATAGATAAGGGGTCATGAGGCCACGTCACTTCTTTGTTATTAATGGCTAATTTTGTTAGGACCTCAGTCTTCTTACATTGTAATTCTTTGTAGGGTCTGGGAGGCTTTGTCTGTTATGCTTGTTTGATATAGCTGCCAATACCAGTGACGGCTTTAGTGTCCTTCTATGTAAGTTTGACCAAATAAGATATGCCATTACTCTATTAGGCAGGGATGGTAAGGGTGTTAGGTTGTGTGCTCTACAGAAATCGGCGAAATCATGCCAGATGGCTTTTAATTTTTTATCATATAACGACTTTGGCAGTAAGATATTTTGTGCACATGACAGGAATTTGTTCAGAATGTCATCTGAATTGCCATGAATCTCCAGTTTCTGTTGTTCAATGGTTCGATCGACCTACTTGGGCTTGGTAAGAAAATTTCCTCTGGGTTTGGGAGCAATATTTCTCAATGTGGGTAGTGCAGTAGAATGGGCCACCATGGGGCCGATACCCAAATCGGTATGATAATTGTTGTAGTTGCCTGGCATTCTATTACATGGTGAAATACCCTCTCTAGCTGACCTAAAGGAGCACAGACGTAGTTTAGTTCTCCTTGCCAATTTTGTGTAAAACAATCTACGGCTTCTGTCGTTGGACAGTGCCATCGCAAGTTGAATCGTTGAAGGTGGGTTGAGGTTTCGCTTGCCATTTGGTCTATTGTGTGTGGACCCAACATGCTGTCTAATACTTCGAAAACCTCTCTCTTTAAACTTCAGTCTGATTTGTCGAAGTATCTTGTAAGTTCGTCTGTAGGATTTCTTGCACTCGGTACTTATCAGAATTCGTATATCCAAATATCTTTTTTGTCGCAGAAATCCCAAACCTTTCGCATATAATCTTTTTGTCAGTGTGTTTTTCCACCTACTTCTATCATTTTTCATACCACTCTGTTGTCTATGAATGCTGTGACCCAGTGATGCGTCAGTTCTTTCCAAAATGACTTTAGTCTGAGAAGTGTTGCTTCGGACTCTAATTTTGCTATTTCTATATGTAGATATCTTTGTTCCCAATTACCAAATGCCTTGTGTGCAAATAGAGTTGCCAACCAACCAATTGCTGAGGCGTCTACGAATAGAGGGAGTATGCATGATGGCTTCTAGGCTGGCTGGCCATTTTTTGATGCTAAGTTTCTTAGTACCCAGTCTGCATCTTCCCTTGCCTTTGATGACAACCTTAACTTTCAATCTCATTTCCAAGGTTTGCGGTGGATGGTGTCGATCAAGTCGTAAAATTCCAGACATCTCCGCTTCGCTGATGCAAACGCTCTGCTTAGACTCATAAGTATTCCAGCCACTGAAGCTAATTCATGTGCTGTGACTCTTTCTTGTTTGTGAGTAGTTTCAAGGTGCACCGTGCATTCGTTATTTTTTCATCTGAAATTATTACTAGTGCTTTCGACGTGTTCAGTATCAATCCATAGTATTTCAGTTCCTGTGTAGGTTCCTAAAACCCATTGTCTGCTAGGATCAAACCTCCTTTCCATAGGTCTGGTGTTATGATGTAATCCCTTTGATGCTTTAAGATCTCAATATCTAGATGTGCTACCTAAATATTGTCCATGTGATTACCGCAATAAATACCGATTGAGCACCAATGACCAATCAATGATTGCATTACTTTTAAAAACGCCCAGACCGCTTGATTTAATCCAAAAGATAAGACTTGGTAGTGGTATCAGCTTTGTTTGAATCAGAAATCTAGTAACTTTTGTGTATTTTCTGTCATCAGAAGGTGGTGATATCTGTCTTTGAGATTCATGGTTATAACCTACCAATTCTTTCCTACCATTCGAATGAAAGTGCCTAGGCCTTCGAAACGAAATGGCTTGTTTGGTAAAGTTGTGTTGAGCCTTCGTAGATCTATTATAAATCTCCATTTTTTGGGGCCTTTATTGGGTATTAGAAAGATTAGGCTTACTTCTATCAAACAGTCTGGTCTTACGGGACCTTCACCGACCTTCTCTATTGCACGTTCTTCTAATAATCTCGCCAGTTCCTGTTTCAGCCATTCTTCTTGTTCCTGAGAAAACTGATATTGCCTTGGAGTTCATTGTAATACAAGATAAAATAAGCCTTTTGGAAAGAGTGGGATGCCAAATTTGAGCCAGCTTATTATCATGGGTGATGCCTTTATTTTCCCCTTTCAATATTCTATTGAAGATGGTTCATTCAGACTTCCTACTACTGAGTAACGTGGGGCCCGAGATTAGTCAGCTGTGATTTTTGTCACATGAGCCATATCTTGGCGGTTCTCGTGAATGTCATTCTGATGGATGTTTATCAGATCTAGAGATACAATTATTTGCATAGTGACTGACTCCTCTGCAGTTATAGCATGAGAAGGATGCGTTTCTTTTTCCTGTACTATTGTAAGTAGTTTTTGTCTCCTTAGACAGATGTGGTCGACTTCTTTCTCTGTCTGGGACATAAGAGTCTCGTCCTCAGTATGGTTTATTCCTGAAGTCCATCCTTTCAGGAGACTCTGCTCTCTGAAAAACCACTTCTCATTCCAGTATTTTTCCTTTCTCTTGATGTTTTAAGCTTGCGGTTTGTCTATCTCATTCAATAGCATCACCGTATTCCACAAGATCCTCATTTTTTGATTGTGGTAGTGCAGTAGCGACTTCCCATCCATATTCCTTTGCCACATTAAGTACAACTGTCCTGTCAGCTGTTTTCGCATGTGCACTCTCTACAAAACGAATAGCTTCATCTTCGAATGTAGCACTCAATGCCATATCTAAATCATTACCAATCGCACACAAGGCGTTGTACTCAAATTGATCTTGTGATCATTTGAATTTCAAATCAGGCCAGTTTTTTCAGATCTTGGATCTTGCAGTGGACGATTCGACCCGTTCTGAAATAGTGTTCACATCTTTTCTTAAGTACTTTATCTCCTCCAATAAGCTTTTATCTCTGACGCTTCTCTTGATCTCTTTCTTGCTTGTTTTGATCTTCTATCACATGATTCGTCATTATCAGTTTCATCTCCACTTTGTGCAACTCCTGGTCTGTCGATGTCAGAGTTTGTAGTGGATCAATTTGGTTGAGTCTGTGTTGTGTCTTCAATGAGCATAAGACGTTCTATCAAGTCAGCTTTGTTTCCTTCTGTGTCTAGGTTTAGTAGAGCACAGAGATTTTTTAATGCATCAACAGACATGTGAGTACAGCGTACATTGTTTCGGCATGTCTCAAGCTCTTCCTGTTGTTCAGTTGGTTCTGTGTCTTGTATGTTTTTCTTTCGTGTTCCTATAAGTTGCATGTAAGATAATGTGTTAGCCAGAAGTAGTATTTCGGGCAACTCAGAAGATAGCAACAGAAGAAAAGCACAAACTCACCCTTTTTCCAGAGATCATTCCTTTTATAGCTCAATAGCCTCTAATGATTATCACATGTACAGGCTGTAGGACAATGGTCATATGATCGGAGATCCTCGTGATAATATTCCTCCTGTGACTTTGTCATAGTCGGTCTTAGAATTGCGAATCACAGAAATTACAAACTCAATAATTGCAATTATGTCATGTTAGAATATTATTTTAAAAAGATGAAAGTAACAATTAGACTTATAAAGTGAATTATTATTATTCGCTTTGACATAGTAATTTATTTTTTATTTATTTTAATCTATAATTATTAGTGATGAAATTAATTTTGAATTAGAATACTATTCTAAGGAATATGCTGTCTAAGTTTATAGAAAAATTTCTTGGCATTAATATGAAATTTTTGGCACAATCGCAAAATGACGAAACTATTTGTCAATTCAAAAATAATTTTGTCAAGTATCTATAGTAATAATGATGGTATTCTTTTAAAGAAAAAAAAAAGTTTTAATTATGAGTCGATCCTGTTTTTCTGATGATAAACTTGATTTTTAATCAATTCAATAAAATCATTGATCTTAATAATTTAACAATTTACATTATAAAATAGAGTGTAATAAGTAGAATGTAATTGTTTAAAAAAAAAGATAGTGGATGAAGTTTTACAAATAATTATGTATTAGGAATGATACATATAAGATTCTCTAACTTTATAATCTTTTTGTAATTTAGAAGTTTTTATACAACTTTATTAAAGATTATTACAAAATGCCTTTTAGAACAATACACAATTATTAAAAAAAGCTAACTATGAAAATAAATAAATATATAGCAATAACTT